GGTGCATCACACCGAAGAAGGCACCAAATTATCAGGCCAACGGTGGTGGTGAGCAGGAACGTTCCTTCTGGTAACGGGTCAATGTTTGTTTGAATTGTATTTATATTGTAAATAATATTCAGGTGTTGGAGCATATTTCAAACAAATACTCAATAAATTACAAACCCGTCAACGTCTGTAAATTAATTGCCCCCGCAAAGACGCCACACCGTGTTACAAGTTGTTCTGGAAAAATTTCTTGCAAATCCTTTTTGTATTAACGAAATTGCTTGTTTTTTAATTGAGCTACCTTGCATCTGAGAGCTGGCCTAACAGCAGAATTGCATGCTCTAGAATTATTGGACTATAACCCAAAAGTTTATGTACAGTGGGCGTCATTGGATGCCTCCCCATAGAGCATCTCAAAAAGTTCTGAAATATCGCTGGAGAAGATTGCAAATTTGTTCAGTAGTAAACAAAAAGGACCTTCTGGTCAAGATTTATTAGATCTGCAATATTTAGAATTTCAAACTTTTCCGTTTTTTCATTACAATTCTATTAAAATGCTTAAATTTATGAATATTTTCATATTTTAATCCCGAAATATCAACATTTTTTGCAATTTTACGCGTTGAGCTCCATTTTAAAACACTAGAACACATATTTGAATACACTTCGTTTTAACCATTACATACATCATTTTAACAGTATATAACAAAATACCATTTTAACATATATTCAACGAATTCAACGTTAGATCACGTTTTGTCAATTTTGAACTGTAGACCACATATTTGTAAATTTTAACATTTCATACATTTCACACATTTAAACATGTAAGAAGCTTAATTCAATAAAATTTCTGTCATAAATCCATTCAAAATATTTTCATTCTTTACGCGTTTTAGATACGTACAGCGTTGAAGTACATACCATGTTATACATGCATTGATAACACGTTATCTCAAATGTGATATTTCTTTTTCCCTCTCTTTGTATACGTGTTCTTCATTTTACACGTTATTTCAAGTGCGATAACTCTGTTTCTCTCTGTAGGATCTTTATCGTTCAATAACACCGTCATTGAATCAGTGTGTCTAAACGTAATATCATAGGACAAAATATACACAGTGCACCTGAACTTAATATTATCAAAAATACTTAGATTGATTATACAGTACATCTAATCTTAATTTTGGAGGTCAAAAATACTTAGTTTAATAATACAGTGTATCTACACTTCATTTCGTAGGTCATAATTTAGGGACTCGAACCACATTCATTGCTCAAAATATTCTAGCCATCCATCTCATAAAACCATGCATACATTGATACCAACTCCTTTTGCCTCCATTTATATTAAAATATTCTTTATGATACTATGTTGGAAGTCATTTGTTAAACGTTTTACCATACACGATAACATATCCAATATTGTTATTAGGAATAGTATTATGAAATGCAGCACATAGTTTCATAGATGTGTTTTGTGTAGCATCTACATTTTTTCTTATGTAGGTATTTATCAAATAAATGGGATAGCTTGTAATAAATAGAAATGGTAATATGGCTATCAATAAAAATGAAACGCGGAAAATTATTTCCATATTCTATTAGATGTTCTCCTAAAGGCCTAGTGGATTTGGTTGAACATCTTTATTGATTGATAACTATATTATGAATCACCGTGGTTTAATTAATCATGTGTATGTATATTTAAAATATTTTGAACAAGATAAATATCAGGCATTTATGAATAAGTAATATAAGCTTGAAAATGATATTATTTAATTTATAAGTCATCACGGTGATAAAATACCACTTGATAATTCTGAAGAACATTCATTAGTATTATTCGATGTATCGTAGAAAATCATGATAACTGTAAGATAATATTTTATCCGTTGTAAACATAAAGATAATGATTGTTCGTATTTAGCACAAACGTAATCAAAATCTCCTAAGCAATTGGTTAAAGATACTTTTACTTTTCTAAATATATTTAGACAAGATGACCGAAATCTTAACCATATTTATCATGAATTTGTAGGTGGTGATGTGAAATTTGATCACATTAAACACTTTGTCAAGCGCGATAGACCTCGTGCCTCGCAGCAACTTCAAAAACTCCTGCACTCCCTTGAATAAGAGTCACCTGTAGCCCTGATGTAGAAATTATGATAAGCCCTGATGAAGAAATTAAATACTTTCGAAAACGCGTAACAAATTGTTTCTCTAACCACATTGACGCAATCGCTTCAACGGATTTTATGCATCTTTTGAGTTTTCGAAAAACTTAATTTGAGGTCTTTTTAAGAACTTTAACTCACAATTATATAGTGTTTTACAAATTGCTGGAAATAGCATATCGACGGCGTGACGAGATTATTAAAAATTTTACATTTGTGTAATTTTGGAAAAAACAAAAAATACACCGAAATAAACTTTATGAGTTCAATTAACACTATCCTTTCGAAATGTAAGAAGGATAAATATGACACCGTTTTTGAGAAAATGGCGTTTGAGCGTTTCTGAAAATAGGGGGTAGATAGATAAGTATTCAACATTTAGCACAATCCCTACCCAAAGTTTGAAGAAAAAATTGAAGCGATTTTCGAGAAAATGTTTTAGTAATTTTTTAAAATTGCACACCCAAATATTTCATGCAATATTGCGCTAACACTACTAATATTTTCAAAGAAATGTCCGTGATCTTGATAAAAGAAGTCACTATGGAGAACAAATTTGATTTGAAGATATAATCGCTATTCTCAATTTTGTGGTTGTAGAAAGATTTCCGAAAAATTTTGTAATTTTTTGAAGTTCAGTATTAAACCTGAACAACCGACCAATGACATTTTTATAAGTGTATTTAACTTAATTGTCAAAATAAATTATAAGAAAAAATTTGAAAATTTTTTGTGAAAATTTGGAAAATTTTTTAGAAAATTTAGAAAATGCCTGGAGGGCTTCAATGTTTATTCATTTTTACAAAGTTTGGATGTAGTAAAGTACATCCAAACTTTAAAGATTTCTTTTCAAATTTCAAAGCTTCGACTCGAGTCACGTCGACAGGGGTTTCGTCAATTTGGAAAATATCCTATTCATGGTTTAGGTGCTAGTAGTGTTGACGGCCAGACGGCCAGGCGGGCGTTTTTATATGAATAAAAAACACTTTTTGGCTATCAATGGAAAAGTGGTTTCCGTGCAAATATCGAAATCCATTTTCCGCAGCATTACATAACTTTCCCTATACTACGTATAATCTCCGTATATACGTACGTATAGGGCAAGTAAAAGAATTATAAGGATTTTTCTTATAGGATCATCGTATTTCAAAAAGATTTTAAATATACATGGCCGTACGGCCGATATTACAAATGACGAACTCGAAACGCGCTGAGGAGGCTCAGAGCAACAACTGATGTGCTGCAGTGCCTCTGATCGGAAGTCCTAGGTTTTAAGGAGGAGAATTCTAGCTGCAGAGATCGGTAGTTTTCCGTGGTTTCGCGGATCAGCACAACACAACGCGTATGCCAGAGCAGTAGGCGACCACACGGGCTATGGACTGCGCGCTTTCTTGCCGTCCTCTTCTCTGACTCGTCCTATCCTCACACCGTTTTATGCACTTTACACTTACATGAACTACTCCACTACACTTGTCGGGAGCTTAGAGTTTGTTCTGGCTGAAGTGGTGCGCTGCTGGAAGAGATACCTGGAGAAGGGAAACCTATAAGAAGAACCAGATACAACGTTTCAAGGAGATGGAATACCGCAACCTAGAGGGAATAAAAAAGGCGTACACATAAGGGACACAGTCCGTTACTTTTATACACTAAACTACCCCATATTAATTCTATTTTTCAGGTTCACATAGAATAATTTGCATAAAAAAATAATTATTACATTTTTGGATGTTTGAGAAAATTGTACCTTTTTTTGTTTTATTGAATTACATCATGTTGCATACAACTAATGTATTTTTGTCAAATTAACATAATGTGTAACGGAAGCATGACGAGGATCTTCTTCGAAACGATGTGCTGTGACTAATAACACAAAGTTAATTACATCTGAGTAAAATGCTTACCTGAAGAAATTCTCCAATGTTTTTAGAGAGTGTTTATAAGAAAAACATTACCCCTCTTAAATAATTTTGATCTTTATTTTATCGAAGGAATATCAATAACATGTTTTCCAAACATAATATTCCGCAGGATCCTTACAATGTCGATCGCACAGCAGTTCGGGTATTGACCGTCTGCCCTGGCATGACAGACACTCCGATATTCAAGAATGTGAAGCTCCTGCCCCTGAATTAGAAGAAGAACTTTGAAGATAACCCCCCAGTTTCCGATGCAGAAGTGGATATACTTATCCTACATTTAAATTAACGCGGGCTTCTCGTGCCCCAACCTTCTCTTCTTACAAGAGAATCCCATGACTAACTGGGCAGTTTTGAAGTGTAGCATAGCGCATGTAGTCCCAGACGGAATGTTGAAGATCGTGAGTCGCTTATCTTGGATGTTAGTATGATCCCTAAAATTGTCTGCCAGTCTATTAATTAGCAACAGGTATTCGTCAATGATGTGTAAAGTGTAACATCAAATATATCGCGAAATTTATTGTCTACGCCCCCATCTCACTTACTCAATTGCATTTATAAATCTTAAACGGCATCTAACCAAAATTATTGAGGTATTAGTCGTAATTAACACGCCTTGAGATAATGTGATAGTAATGAACCGCTTAGTTTTTGAACGTTTTTTTTGCTTTATTTATTATGGTCGTATAAACTACATGGTCATGAGCGAGCCCATTGTTTTACAAAATATTATAAACAATATTTGAAGCAAGTAATTATACATTGATAGAAAAAACAATTACTATAAGTACAAATATTACGAAAGGGCTAAACTGAAATATTAACAAATTTATTAACATTAATAAGATCTTAAGATAATGGTTTGATTTTTAGATACCTAGTATTTAACTGACAAGTTGTTTCTAGTAGTTTACAGGCATTATGGAGGTTGAGTTCATCGAGGAAATGGATCACATTATATGCATTACTTGTACGTTTGAACGTTTGTCCTCTCCAGAAAGGATTTTTGACACATCCCAAAACTCCTTACGTACGGTCACCCATTCCTTTTCTACCTCACAAGCCAAATACCACTGTACGTTGTGCGCCAATGAGGCAGAGCAAGTGAAGAAAGGTGTTGTAGCGAAGTAAGAAGAAATATCAAAAGCAAAAATTAATTGTAGAATATAAAATTTGTAATGCATTTTCTACTTTATACTATCATCATATAATTATCATATAATGATGAAACCAAATAGACCGTTTATACACTTCCGTTTATATTCTACCTCCAATCATTCTGTACATCGATAAATAATTTTTTTTGTACATAGAACGCTGTGTTCCCAACAAACATTCCAACAATTCAAGGATCGTTTGCAGCTAAGTTCTGAAGCATCCTAATGTCAACAAAAAGAACAATAATATTACGGCATGTATAAATGCAATATAATAACAATTTCCCACCTTTTCGTGAGAGACGTAATAAATTAATTTTTATCGCCATTCCAACAATAACATATGTCAATGTAAGATATATTATCCACATCTTTTGTAGAATTTCTAATTCATGTGTATTACGATGTCGTAGTATTAATGTTCTCGTTTTCTATGTGTTCTCTGAGGAAGTTGAGTTTTCTCAAAAATATGCTTGTTTCTGGCTGATACTTTTAATTCTTTAGCCCAATCAATTACTTTTATTATTTATATAAATCATATCCGTGCTCTTTTTTAATGTATTTATTACCGATATCTTCGATAAGCGACATTATCCATTTGCCTTCACATAACGCCTTTCGCACATGGCAATCAATTCTGCTACCAATGGAGATTAAGCTATTCATTATTTCATTACATTTCCAGCTTATTACCGATTTATATATTTTAATTGTATAACCGCCAAAAGATTTACTGTCTGCGTTGAACAGCAACTGGCATATGATGCTTGATGTTTTTCGATCCTTTGATGTATCATTACGTTCACTTGAGTGCTGCATATGTATGGATGGCGGATTTCCGGAAAAAAATGAGTTCGCTGTAGGTGCGATAAATCAGGACGTGATTCGGGTGCTAGATACCTCAAACAACCAAGTATTATTTGATACTAAGTCACATTTACTTGATCAAAATTATCAAAGTCCTCCAATTTCATTCCCGAATTCTTTTAATATATCTCTTCGAATGTTTCCTGATCTAGAGTAAGCCCATATTCGTCTCTTGAAATTCTGATCCATAAGAAAGAATCATTGATTTTACCATTCATTTACTTTATAGTCAATTGAGGTTTAAGTAACAATTAGTTCCTTTATGACAGAAAAATCTTTACCAATATTTTCACAATCATCTACAAAGAATCCTATGGCTACAAATTGTTTACTCTCTTCATTTATAAACACGTACAGGTACAAGATCTCATTCCACACTGTTTTAGTATATTACAAAAGTTTCGTTAACCAGCATTTATCGACTTCTGGTAAACCATTGAGACTTTTCTTATATTTTAGAACTTTATTTCCTTATAACGACACTCCCTCGGGATTTTTATTATAAACGTCACTATCAAGCTCACCATTCAAATGTGCGGTCTCTACTTCTACGTATTTTATAGTATAATTGTACATTGCAGTAATTTTCGAAATATTCATATCTTCATTACAGGACTTAGAGCACAATCATAATCTATTCCGATTACCTGTCTGGAGCCATCTACTACTCATCTGGCTTTGAACTTCGTATCTTTATCACTGGATTTTCTTTTGAATATCTATTTACTTCACAGAATTTTGTCATTGTTAACGCCTCACGGTCCATTTCTTCCTACGTGTAATAATTTTGAAGACAACTTAGTTTCTTTTTGTATTTTTCAATTGTCTTATCGTTCCCCATTAACAGCTTACAATAATTTCTTGGAACTGTTTTCTTGCGTCAAATTTACCGTCGTATTGTATCTTACTAAAACACGTCTTATTCCTTTGGATATAGTGCCTTTCTTCAAAATTTGTAAAATCATCATTTTTTATTCAAATTATCTTTTTTTTCATTCTCATTCGATTACTGATTTTGTCAACATAAGATTAAGATATAAATTATTTTCATTATCCCACCTGCGACATTAATTACTTCTATTAAATTTTATTTTTTCTTCGATTTACCAGTATTGTTTAATTTGAGAAATTATCAGCATGTTTGTCATAATCCAGAATAATTATATTATACAAATCAACTTTATTAAATATGTTGAATGATTCGCTTCCCTAATCCGATTCAATGAATGCTACAATCTGGGATTCTATTATGTCGTCATTCTCTGTCATATATTCTGTAGGTTTTCCTATATTTGGAATATCCTACAAAAATACAGATTTTGTCCGTTTTTGTAATTTATTCCGTAAATCTTTGGATTTGCAAAAAACACTTTCGAACGAATATTCTTAAATGCATTACATTTGGTTTCGTTCCGGCCATAATTCCATAGGGAGTTTGTTCTTTTCTTGATAGTTAGTGTCACATTATGAGTTTACTAGCGTACCGTGCGCGGAACTCGCGCATGTTAATCCCCATCCTTTCCCTATTCTTTCCATTATGAAGAAAAGTTGTTAATGAAACGTGGATTATTTGTTTCAAAATCTAAAAATGTAACTGCGTACCTACAGAATATCAAACAAAATAAAACATTGCAATTGATGTTAGAAACAAATTTTCCAATAAAGGTTTATTTAGTATTCTAGAGATGTGTTTTTCGAACAATACACACTTCCTTAAAACATTTGGAGTAGTTCATCTATCTTATTTGACACTTAGCATTTCGCTTTCCTTGATAGTCCAAATTGTTTAGGAAAGGATTTTACTTTTGAGAATGTCAAGTTAATTGTTCCATGCGAATATAAAGGATCGGCAATTATAACACTACTCTTTTCAATCTTATTTATCTTCCTGAATTTGTTATGAGGAACAGAAGGAGTTTGGGCAGGGACAGGGCGCCAGCTTGCTGGGGTGGCGAAAATGGAAAAATTTTTGTACACTAAAAAGTATTGGATTTTCTGCGTTCTTACCTACCTCAAGAAAAGCAATTCCGAGCTAAAAAATAATAAAACTCATATTTTCCTATTTGAGTATTAAATGTCATTTGTTTCCATTACAAACAATTCAATAGACTTAACTTCGGTACATGGTAATGTTGCAGAGCTTTGATGTACAGACACCCAGATACCGCCAACATCTAAGTCATGCCATCTGGATTGTAATTGTGGTAGCGTCGAGTGACTAGCGCCATTTTTCTATAATTAAATTTTGTACTTTTTTGAATTAATTCACGTAGGCTAGTGCGTTTTAGTTGTTCATTTATTTCAATCTTCTATACTTTAGTTAATTTAAAAGTTTGTTCTTTGTGTTGTGCTAATTTCTTCAGTATGCTGTCGTAAATTTGCCTTAATAAAGACAACGAAATAACTTGCCCAGAAATCACTCGTTGATAAAACACAAATGAGACACAAATTTCTAATTTTTTTACAACTGTTCGCGAAACACACCCGGGGATATAATATGTCCTCCAATCTTTACAATCATTCATTTGCATACGACTAACGTATTGTTCGCGATTTCTAGACACCCCCATATATTCTTATGACAGGAGTGCTCCGATTATAATTTATAGGTCAAGATGCGCTAGACATAATCTCCGATGCGTTTCGAAACAAGAAAAGACGGTGTGGAAAGTTCAGAAATCTAGCCGCACCGCGACCTTCCGAACCTGTTACAATGCCGAATTCAAGTCATCAGTGTTCATAAATATTCATTAAATACCATCTATGTCTATTCCTGAATTTGGCCTCTGAAGATCGATCTAATATGTAAAAATGTGTAATTTTCTATTTAAGATGAAATTATTCAATATCATTGACATAAAATTGCTATCATAGAGCTAATAAGTAGAGTTGATGAGCCCCTATCATATGAATACATTTGGTGTGAAAACTCCATCTCAATATCTTGAACAGTTTAATATATTCGACGCGGTAGTTTTGTTGACATGACCTGTGAAACATGTTTCGTACAAACAATTTCCTGCGTTTTAGTAACAAAAATAGAAGTTTGCGGTTCTAAGGTATGCATCTAATATTTTAATTTCACGAAGAATTCAACATTCGATGTTTGACTTATTCTGTGATATATTTCTTCATAATTTAGACGTACAGATACGTAAATGTCACCAATTCTTCACACATTTTCCGTTTCATATTTCTAACAAAGGGAATCAGATACCATTAGCCATAAATGGAATGTCATCATTTATTTGCGGCGGATTATAGCTTAAGGAAGTTTGCGGTTGTGATATTTCTTATTCACCTAAGATATATTTCTGTCACCTTTGTTTTACTAAAGTAGTGCATTACGCATTGCACACTCGTTTTACACACAGACATATCAGGCGCGCTTTTGGGAAACAAAATGCATGGAACATATTTAAAATATTATAATCAAAACTGTTCGCAATTTTAAACGTCGTTTTTAGAATGGCGACAAACCCTTCCCGTTTGACTGCGAAAGTGGTCAAAACTGTAATCGGCTTTGAAAAAACGCTTTGTTTCAGGGCCGACAATGTGGCAAAGGCTGTTGTACACCTCATCAACAATGGCCCCAGCGGCAGTGTTTGGGTGAGCGGAAGAAGAAAGAACCAGCTTACAGCTGAATTCCCTGAGTACCCAACTATGCGCGTTGACCCGTACGAGCGCCTGGACTTCGTTGCATCGCGATTTCAAAATACAAATTGAGAACGTAAGAGTTCGTATATTAGCTTGATAATTCCACGAGAAAGAAAAAAACAGTAGTAAAAGAAATTAACACGGTAGAGTCAGTTGTACAGGACGGACTTTACGAGACGGGACCTTCCGTAACTAACGAAGTCACCCGCGAACAATTCACGCAATTTGAGTCTGTAGATGCATTTTTCAGATACTGGAAAAAATTATATACAGATTGTCAAAATAAATTGTAGTAATTAATAAGCAAATTTACTCTTCGATGCTGTAATAACACTTATACCGAATAACGCGCTGGAATTCTTATGTGTTATGTGTGTTGATGCGTAGCAGTTCCAGAATGTCCAAATGGCCACAGTTTTACTTTGGGACTGCTGATGTGGTTGGATTTTGAGCGTCCTACGAAATATCTTTGTTGTGAATCCCTTATTTTAGCTTTGAAGCAAATTTGACAACTTGACTTTTGTTGTTATGCTTTTTTTTCAATGGGCATCCTGCAGCTCTCGCCGTGTCTGTTTGACCGATAAACCGTACAACCAGAGTCTACGTAGAACGTGTAATTACGTACATTCGGTTTCCCGAACCATTTAGGACAATAAGGTTTATCAAATCTTGATTTTTCAATATTACAAATATGTTAATTGTTAATAATATTTAAAAGTTTATAAAAAAAATGCTTTCGTAATTTCACATTTTTATTTTTAATAATATTTTTGACTCTAAACTACCAAGCCTTCCAGAACCTATACAAACAATGTTTCAATCTGAAAAATTCAGATCAGCAATGCAGTGGTGAGTTCAGCGGGGAACAACTGACCATTATATATTCTTCTGCTTTAGCTGGCGTTGATATTTCTATTTAAATAGCCCCAATTAGATCCAACTGATTCAAAACATTGACCTTGCATTCACTTTAACAGGCGTAAATTGAAGTGGTTATGCGGTGCATCAGGAAATCATATATTCGAGGCAACAAAATACATGTGATAAAACATTATGTTTTCAATTACAAAACATTTTTTTGAATAGTTGCAAACAAAAAAATACTAGGTAAGTTGTATAAATGGCCTATCACCAAAACAGTCAAAGAGTTAACCGCTGTCACTAAACATTTTGTTCTAGTCAGTAGATGTTTGTTTTTACAGATAATAAAAATAATTATAATAATGACCTATTGACTGTTTTAATGATTCATTGATAAATAGATTCCATGTATAATAGATAGAAGGGAAATTTAAATATGCAACATAAATTTAAAACTTGTTTTACAATTGTTAGGACATCATTCATAAAATGCCACGTTCGAAAGAAAAGATTGTTCTTTAACAAAGGAAAGAAAAATAGTTACTAATACAACAAGACAAAACAGAGAAAAAGATCAAGATTAACAAAATGCTTGCTCCCTCCACCAAGGTTTTAAATGTAAGTTACAATCTACTGACATTGGTTAATACGCAATAAAATCAACTAAACGTTATAGAGCTGATGAAGATAGAACAATCATTTCTTTTGAAACGTGCATTTTGTATAATATGATTTACTAGTAAATATGAAAATATTTTAAATTTCCGTTTTGTGTCTTCAATTTCCCATTTTTATATAACAGGCTTGTCGAGATCACGGGTAATGTACTTCAGCTCAAGAGCATTGCGTTGAGAGAAATTGGTGCGAAATTTAAAAATAAGGTTTGTACAAATCTCAGGACGCCATTTGTTACGCCACGTGTGGCTCATGAGTCTTTGTTTGATTACTTGACAGGTGTCACAAATTTAGCTCCATTAATACCATTTTCTCTTTGAAGCAAAGAAATGATCCATTAAAATGAAATAATATATCAGTCCGATATCAAAATTTCAATTGAGAGTACATTTAAAAAAATGAATTAAAAGTATCTTGAGTTTGTAAATCCTATTTACTAATCGTGGTTAGAAGCGAAATATTCTATAAACAGAGAGTTCGATATTCACACGCTCAAAAATATTTATTAGCGAGATAAGTAGGTAACCGTGAAGAACTACAGAACTACAGAAAGAAACTTTTATGCGCTGTTCTTGAAATCTACACATTTCATAAAAGTCTCCGGGGTTATTTTATTTCCTGAAAGTTCAGCGAAGTCTGACCCATTTTATTAAAGCAGGCATTGGGTCTATGAATAAAAATGAGCATTGTTCCGGGAAGCAAAGTGAGTCCTATACTCCACGCGACTGAGCAAAAGCGGTGTTTTCGTTTGAAATAAAAATTTCGTAGTTCCCGAGAACTTGCTCATGTCCTTGCGTGAGTATTTGCGTCGTTG